GTCCATTTTTTTTTTAAAAAAGTGCGATCATTATGCAAGTATATACGGTAGCAAAATATCGTTAAGTAAGGCTAGCTGCTCTTTTGGGTCCGATGTTATGCACAAAATATTGAATTGGCCTCTTCTTGAACATTGTCAACGTAACCTCAGATTGACGTTTCTCCATAGCATTTACCATTCCCAAAACAGGGATAAGCAGGCAATTGCATTTTTAGCCACCCAGCTATGACGTTTCTCAAAGACAGGATCATCAGGTTAAAATACGTGAGATACCTTTTAAGGGTGACACTTTCTAGTACACTTTCTTTGTCCGTACTATACGAGACTGGGCCACCCTACCACCTGAAACTGTCTGTATTTACTCAAATGATGTTGTTTTCTATGCTTTATGAATTTATTATTATGTGCTTGTTTATATTTAATGTATCCTTCCTGCTGTAATGCCTCTTGGTAAAGCAGGTGCAGGGGAACTTTGATTACACATCCCCCGGTTTCGCGACAACTCGCATTTTACGACGAATCGGTTAGGTCCCGGCGAAATCCCCATAGGAATAATGTATTAAAAACTTTGGTTATACGACGCAGTTTTACGCCGACAACGCATCTTACAACATTCAGATTTCGTACAAAAGAAAAAAAGAACGCCTTTACTCGAATCAAGCATGGACCAAATATTCAGGAGTGCAAAATATAAACTTGCAGGCAAAATTCCGTTTGGCGTCTCACACCTCCGTTGCCAGATTTTGGGGTCGTTGTTGTCAGACTGCTGCCAAATTTGGTGGAAAATATTGCTTCTGTAGCTGTAGTTGTGGCTTCTCCGTTTGGTGTCGTTCGCGGTGCATTTCGGGAGTGAGTAAGCTACGTTAGCTATTTTAATTAACGGAATGAACATAAAACGAGCGTTGCACATCAGGCCGCATGCTCTTGTGTGCGCTGCTGTGAAATTAAGAGATCGTGTCTCAGAGTTAGGGAATCAATGACGCGTCGTCCACCTTGCATTTCACGGGTGGGCGTGCGATGAACTTGTTCCCGAGTGTGTGTGCAACGTAATTAGCGCAAAATTAACCGTGCATTGCTGTGTGTGCTGCTGTGCAAGTAAGAGATCGTGTCTCAGAGTTAGGGAATCAATGACACGTCGTCTGCCGTGCATTTAGAGCTGTATGGCCCTGCAGGTGACGGCTCGTCGGGTGAGCTCTCATTTACAGGTACGGGCGGGTCGCGCCTAATTCGCTCTAACTGCAGCAATAAAACAGCCTTCCAGGCGTATATATATCTGTAGCATATCCGACATACCCCAATTATCCAGCCTTGGCACATTTATTCTTCATATGTACAGTCCGAACAATACGCCTTGCGCTGACATCTAGGGGAAGCGCAGCGTCCCTGTCGTGGCGCGTGGTCGACGCGGCATGATCAGCTGTGAAAAAAAAAATGATGGGGGGCAGCACACCACCTGCTGCGACTCTATTCAGTTTCCCTGTCGTCCATAATACTGTGGCGCGATCTCTTGATTGCACAGCTGCGCACACAGCAAGAGAACGCACCCCAACTTCTGCAACGCACGGTTCATTCCGTGCTAATTACGTCGCACACAGACTCGCGAACAAGTTTATCGCACGCGCACTCGCGAAATGCACAGCGAGCAACGCGTCATTGATTCCTGAACTCTGAGACACGATCCTTCAATTGCACAGCAGCACACATAGCAAAAGAACATGCCCCGACTTCTGCAACGCTAGTTTTACATTCACTTTGTTAATTAAAATGGTCAACGTAGCTCACGCACTCGCGAAATGCATGGCGGACGACACCAAACCCTCACGGAGAAGCTACAGCTACAGGGACAAATTTTTTCACCAAATCTAGCAGCAGTCTGGCAACAACCACTCCAAAGTCTGGCAACTGGGGTATGAGATGCCAAACAGAACTTTGGGTTGTTACCTAGTCAAGCTCTATCCACACAAAATAGCTCCAGCCGGTTGAAAAGGTGATATTTTCACGTTTTCGGTCTACGGAAACATTTTCTGGTCGACATACCTTCTCCTGGCACTCACAGTCAGAGGCTTGCAGACGCATAAGGGCACGACGCAGCTGTTTTCACTGTGAAAGATTACTTTCATTGACGTCGACGTTCATGCTAAGAGCTGGACATCATTTGTTGCACTTCACAAGGCCACAAATATCAAAGTGCATAGCTCACTCACACACGAAGGCATTCTACGTACACTCGTGATTGGTCGCCATTATGTGATAGCGATGACATTGTGTTTGACTCTTCTGGCGGGAAGCTATTGGCAACACGGTTTCAGTTTCATTTTAACGAGTAGGCAATTTTCGGACTATATTTATCAGTAGAAAGATGCGCGTTGGATTCAATTCTTTTTAAACATGAGAATAGAGATTCGCTCGCACTTCTTTCAACTAAGTTACGCAGTCATTAGCTGTCGCTGGCAAGAATAATTTAATCTACCTTTCTAGCAGAGGTACAGGGTCATGCCGTGGGCTTATTCAGGCGGTCTATGCTCATTTTTGGGGGCACGGCTGAGTGTCATTGCTATATTCTTAGTTTTTCAATTATACAATGCCCACATTATACGACGGTTTTGTGTGGTCCCTTGAAAGTCGTATAATTGGGGTTCTACTGTACTTAGTATATAAATAAATAAATAAGTCTACAAAACATCGGGGCCAGTCCTAGGAGTCAAGAGTGCATGACAATATTAAAAAAATATTTGTCTTACGAATATCTGTAGTGCTTTCTCAGTACAAAATGACAATAAAAGATAGTCGACAGCTGTTGAAAGTGACTGATGTCAGTTTTTTTTTAATTTATTCATGCATACTTCAAGCTACATTCGGGCCCAAGCTGAAGTGGTAAGAAAAAAAAAAGGATCATATACATGGGTGGCATATAAGAAGACATGGTCATATTGCCAAGGGGTCACTATGCGGACGAAGAAAGCAGACTGGGCGTTGTGGTGTACACGTATCCCGAAGGAGTACGGCCACCAGCGTGGGTCCGGTCTTAGTGAGCCGCAGGGCACGCGTTAACCGTTGTCGTGGCGAGAGCACGATACTGCTCAAAGTCGCAACACTTTATTGTGGCAACACCAAACGCAGTACAGCCCAATGCAAAGGCGCGGCGGGAAAGCAAATGGGCTTATCCACGCCACGGGCACAAAAGTACTACACAGGGTGCCACGAGCACGTCTCCGCGGTAAAGGTGATCCACGGAGACACCGGGACCAAGGCCCGGTTGCTCGAGCGAGGGCAAAGGCGCTCGCGTTGGCTGCGGAGGGAGACAGGTCGGCGTAGCTAGGCCACGCACTAGGACACCGTACCACCCTTCGGCCGTGCGTATGCAGTGGGGCAATAAAAGATGAGCGTTCGGCTCGTGTGCGAGGCGCAGTCAGCGAAGTCCGACGAGCCCCGAGCGACAGGAGTCGACGAACGGAAAAGATTGCGTGGCTCACCGTTTGCAGTCCCGGGGAGTATCTGTCTGCCCGCTCCCAACGCAGCGCGCGAAAACCTCTCGCGAGACTCCGCGCGTGGAGTCACAGTCAACATCCGCTACCAGGTGAGGGGATTAAACGTCACTCTGCTCTCCCAGCGCCGCAGACAGCAAAGGAGGGCAGACGTGTCGGGACATGAGAACGACAGAAAAGGTGGCAAAGCCCGCGCAAAGGCAGCGGGCCAGCCTCAATTCCCACAGCGTTCATGTTAAACTGTTTGTTGGGCCGAACTTGTAACCACGTAAAAGGAAAGTCAGATTACAGCAAGACACTGGCACTGATAGTGGCGAGCAGAGTGTCAGCCGGTGATCAACTCACAAGCGGAGAAGCGCATTAGCACTTATACACGTGTCATCGAATATTCTAGCGTCAACGCTAGAGGCCATGTACGTTCCAGAATAATCTGTAACGTTCGGGAAGTGGGCATAATTTTACCGAAATGATCTACTACAGTCCCAAAGCTTCTCGAACTCTGCAGGCGCGGTTCGCGCTGAGAATGGCGTACAGTGCAACAAGGCGATAACAAAACTTGAGGAGGGAATGTGGCAATATAAAAAAATAAGATAGGTTCAAGAAATACAAAACAGTAAATCATAGAAAGTTGCGTTTCGAATACATGAGTTCTAAAAAAAAAAGGTGTCATGCAATGTTGCATTCCTAGTAGTTTGCATACCAAAGTTGATGTTTGCAATGATGTTAACAAATGAGTCTCCTTGTCTTGTGTTGTCGTTTTGTGCTAAAAAGGCATCATGGATTCACATCGACTAATAGCCCGCCAGTGCATTATGTTGATCTTCTACAGGAACCATTGTACGATGCAAGGAAGTTAGTACTTTTGTAACAAAAGAGTGGACACTAAATAACATTATTCAGTGGTGGCACTGTATGTGTTAACATAGTAGATTTTTCCCTATAAATAACCATCCTGTTTTGTTTTTTGCAAGTACAGTCCTCACGAATTCATAGGTTTCAATAAGCCCTAAGCAGTGCGAGGTTCACCGTCTTTAGTTCGTGTCATCTCAGCATGGTTTTGACTTAAATGCTGACGTCAGAAGCTGTATTTGTAGCAAGGTTAGCTCGATAAGTTGCACCAGTAATTACCTCATACTGGGAGTCTTCTGTAGAAAGACGGGTGCTGCAAGGCAATCACCAAAGCGTCCCACAAAAGTATGCCATCACGATGCATGCACTCCTTGGTGCCAGCGGCTGCAAACGCAACAGTTCGCATTCTAATCTTTTCCTTTGTCTTGTGATCTCCAAGAGAAGATTGAAGCAAAATGGAAAGATGCACTGGAGATCCTGCTTTTTTAAAATGTCTCTTTTTTTATGACAATTCAAAAGCGTTGCGTGACACCAGCATACATTATGTAGAATGTTCAGCATTAATATTTGTAGCTGTAAACAGGCGCCATTCGAAGTTGGCTTTGAATATCTCTTGCATGCTGCATTGTTGTACAACTGCTGCCGCTTCTTTCTTTCTTCCTACAGCCTTCATCAAGCCTCATCGTGGTTGGGAGCAACAGCTGCCACACCCTGTACGTTTATGGCATTGTCGACGAGCAACTTGAGAAGCTCCATGACATTGTGAGTGCAGGCTAGGTGGCTTGAAAGTGCAAAGACATTCTTACGTATTCCGACCCATGCAGAGATGTTTAAAAAATAAATTCTCATGTCCTGGAAGTGAAGCCAGACATGAGCCTCCTTACCTCAGGCACGATAAAATGTTATCTTACGGTGAAGATTTCTTCATGTGCTTTACGTGTTCAAGACGAATCACTGTTGCAGACGGATGTGCCCCTTTATGTTACTAAATTTCTTACAATGGCTAAGAAGTTCAGGCACATCCCAAACACACCGTGGAAATGCAAAGCGTTCACTGAGTAGCTACTTATGCTTCCTTTTTTTTTTTTTTTAGGGGCGAAGCTCCTTAAGGCGTGGGTCTGTACATCCTCCCATGTACGTAAGCCACCAGTGGCACATACCTGCTCTAGTGGCACATACCTGCTCTAGAGCGGGTATGTGCCACAGCGGATGGCGTTACTTGGAGTGTTCACTAGATGGACGCATGGACGGACGGACAGACAGACTCGCAGACTGACGAACGGATGGATGGACGCATGGACAGAGGGATGGTGACGCAGACGAACGGAAGCAAGAACGGATGGACAGAAGCACAGACGGGCTGACGGAAGCTTTGCTCCACTCATCATCATTCACTTCATGGATATGCTGTGATTTCTTTTTTGGGATGCTCAGCAGTGTGGTAGGAAGTTGATTAACGTGTTTGTACAAGCCAGTTGATTAGTTGTGTGCTTATGGTGGGCTTACTTGGTATCATGGCCTACAACTGCACTAGAAAACATGGACACAAGAGGAGGGAAGCCACAATGTGTGCAGACCCACAAGTGAACATTCAATCGTTGAAAGATGTCATATATTGTGACGGGGTGAGGTCTAGGCTTACAGGATAGTGTCCACCGAGAATCGGCAGCCGAACAAGATGTCTGAGTTGCCTCTCGCGCAAGCGCCTAATGCACAGGTGTCTTCTTCATCTTCGCTAAATGCCACGCTTGCTCCTGTCGATGATGCACCGTAACATCTCTCCCCTGCGGCGGAAGCGCCGTCACGGCGCTTAGTACAGTGAACATCTGACGAAACAAGTTAATTGGGCAATCATGTGCCTGTGTTGCTGTAATCTGACCTTCAGTTTCCTGGCCACAAGTGCGGCTGAATGAACAGTTTCATCTGAACATCGAGTATGCTCCCTTCGTCCACGTCACTACCCCGTGACAACATTTCACCTCCATGCAAAAGCATGCGTACTAAAGATAACAAAGTTCACATGAGATCTACATGTTATGTTTCAACGCTTTCAATCAGAGGCTTGGCCTTAGCTAAATGGTACAGTGACATTATGAAAACGGTAAGCACATGAAAACCGAAAAAAGAAGGCAATACACAGAGCACTCTTGCAGCACTAACACACCATATATGCAGTTTCTTTCTTTATGAGACTTGTAGGGTCTCTAATAGGCGAGCGCCACCCCCACTCTCTTGGATGAACAGACACAGCAGATGCGGTCGGAACAAACCAAACAATACACATTTATTTAACTACTTTTTGATCGACGATATCGTCAGCTGGATTATTATAACATCAATCTTGATCAACACGCTAGGACATCCTTACACAATAGTAAACAACACTCGACAACATGACAAACAAAGCGGTGACGCTACCGCCTGACTCACCACGTCGGCCCACCGCAGACAGCCCGCGGTGCACTCCACGGCAGACCCACCGCTGGAGGCAACCGTCGGCGCTACGGCCCCACGCCAAAACAGACTCGCTCAACTCTCTCCCCCGCCACCAAGGCTTGCCTTCCACCAGGGGTCACTGCCAGCGCTACCGCTCTACCAACCATGATGATGATAGTGGTGATCACCGCTCGCGAACACAATGCCACCTATCAATAATTGTCACCCCGAAAATACGGCTTATGTGCGAGACACAGTGTGCCAAACGGCGCAAACAACTTTACAAGAAGTGTCAGCACCTCCCTATCACTTCAACTTTAATTCAAACCATATCCCAAAAAAGCAAAAAAATCTGCTACACAAGCTCTAACGAAACATGACAACCCATGTCTCTACATAATGTCTCTGCACCACGACACCACCACCGGTCAACACTGCTGCACTGTCCGGCTCGATGACTTCACCTCAGTACCTTCGACCTAATGAGTTGCTTGACAACAACGGGCATTCACCCAGCACCCAGCCTAGGCGCAGAAGAGGCAGTCGCGAGGAGACACCGCCCCGCCACACTGGTCTAGTGGCTAAGGTACTCGGCTGCTGACCCGCAGGTCGCGGGATGGGATCCCGGCTGCGGCGGCTGCATTTCCGATGGAGGCGGAAATGTTGTAGGCCCGTGTGCTCAGATTTGGGTGCACGTGAAAGGGCCACTCACCAGGTTTGACAATTCTGAGCTGACAAGCGCAATGCGTAGACGAGGCGTTCATGGTCACGTCTGCCAAAGTTTACAACGCTACGCGCCGCGGAAATGGGTCAAATTTCAAGATGAATGCTGCTCCCCCTCTCCTCTACCGGCGCGGGCCCAGAGAATGAGGGCATGACGTGCGCACATGAATGGCCCTACGTACATGGCAATGCAGTGACGTTGGTCTTCTAGGTAGATGACTCTGCTCTGACATTGCAAACGCTGGCACGTGACATGGCGAAAATGATTTAACACGGCATGCATAATTTATGTAATTTGTTGCTTGAAAAGATTAATAAAACTAGATAAATAATGAGACACAATAAGGGAATGTGAGCGTCTTCTTTCCATTTTTATTTCGGAATGAATTGCAACGAGATGTGGGGCTAATGTGTCAGCGTTTCGCATACGTTCATGTCCCCACAGTCAGCGCATCGAGCAGATGACCGCCGTGGAACCCTCCTACGCGTTCGTGCACTTATTCTGCTCATCTATTCTACCGCGTCTAAGCCAGCGTTTCCAAACCATCCCGCAAAAACAGGCAGAAGGCCACAAAATAACGGTGGTCAACAAAGCAATGCCGCTGGCGTGCTCGGGGGTTGGGCTTGTTTGGGCACGTCATGCGCACGTGACCTCTTGGTGAGATGCTGGAGAGGGTGGCAAAGAGATTTGGCTTGCGAATGCTATGCGGAGAGAGCGGCAAAGGTTTAGAGCTCGCCTATTCTCATCCTCGTTTTGCGCCGCTTCAAAAAATCTGTTTTTTCCACTCATGATGAACCGATTAAAAAAATTTAGGGGGCAAAATGTTCCTCATCGGACACCTAACAACTTCCACTGTCTAACTAAAATTTGCTATGTGGCCTGGTGAGTGGCCCTTTAAAGAACCCCAGGTGGTCGAAATTTCCAGAGCCCTCCACTACGGCGTCTCTCATAATCATACGGTGGTTTTGAGACCTTAAACCCCACAACTCAATCAAATCAATCAATCAAGGAGACACCCACTCTGTAAGGTGGCCCGGCCCTATCGCTCGTCACACAAAGCAGCTTACCGAGTGATCGGCGTCTACCGTCCCGGAGGGTGTCATGACGCCCAACTCTCTTAGTCCAAAGAGATAGAAGAAGCTATTTACAGAAAATCAGACGACCCACGAGGCTTCCGTACTCACTTGCTTCGGGCTTGGCCTACAATCCACGTGCTCTAAGCCTTGTTCACCCCAGGATGCAGACGACATGACTCCCATACTCAACTGAACAACGTTCCTAAAAACCAACCACAACAACAACAAAAGCACTTAAGAGCAGAAAAAAATAAAAACTCGAGTGCCTACTAGTTTAAACACGTCACAAATACTGATCTACTCGCTCTCAACAAAGCACACCACCGACGCTAGCAAAGAATTCTCTCTAGGCCTACTCTACCAAGCTTTAACAAAAGCATGTACCGAACCACGAAAACTGTTGTCCGATGCTCCAAGAGCCCTACGTTGGGCGCCAGTGTAGGGTCTCTAATTGGCGAGCACCATCACCACGCTCTTGGATGAACGGACGCAGCAGATGCGGTCGGAACAAACCAAACAATACACCTTTATTTCACTACTCTTTGATGGACGATATCGTCAGCCAAATTATTATAACATCAATCGTGATCAACACGCTAGGACATCCTTACAGAATAGTAAACAACACTCAACAATATGATAAACAAGGTGGTGTTGCTAACGTCTGGCTCGCCACATGGGCCCACCACAGACGTCCCGCGGTGCCGTCCACGGCAGACCCACTGCTGGAGGCAACAGTCCGCGCTACCGCCCCACGCCAAAATTGACTCGCTCAACTCTCTCGCCCCCCACCAAGGCTTGCCTTTCGCCTGGGGTCACCCCCGGCGCTACCGCCCTACCAACCATGATGATGATAGTGGTGATCACCGCTCGCGAACATAATGCCACCTATCGCTCAATAGTTGTCATTCCCGAAATACGGCTTCTGTGCGAGACACGAGCGTCACGCGGTGCAAACAACTTTACAGGGGGTGTTAGCACCCCCACAGACTGCACATGCTTGAGAACTGGGCTATCGGTTTCTCTCCTATTTCTACACTCTCTCTCTCTCTTTTCCTGTGTGCTAATGATTGCAGGCTTTGTTAGCAAGCATATGCTTGAGTGTTTCGTGCTGCTGTAAGCCAAGATGAAGAAAAGGCGCTTGATATCACGCAAGATCTTTTTTGACAAAGGTCATGACACTGTCAAAAGCAAAATTAACTGCGTGAAAAAGGTGATGTACATAAAAAGAACAAGAGCATTACAAAAGCTGGCCAGCAGTAATGAACATAAATGAAAAACAACAAATGTGACTAAAGAACGGAAGCCATCAAAAGGTAAAATAGATTATATACAGTAGTTGTAAAAAAAATAAAACAAAAAGAAAGCGAACTTTTAAAGGGTTGAAATCCGAAAGGTAAAAGGAACACTAAAAGTCACTAGCTTTGCTAAGAACGCCAGCTCTTTCTTTGAGAGCAACACAGAGGGCATGCTAACACAACTGGGTCCGAGCTCTGCTCAAGACGCCTCGTAAATTCCCCAAGAAA